TTCAAAAGAATCGTTAATAAAATCATAAAACGTATCTTCGAGTAACATTTAGTTTTTGTTTTATTAAAATCGGTTCATTCTATCACAAGTTATGATTAATAATTTTAAGTGTGGGTACGAATTTGTTCAATCGCGGCGTTGCGTCATTAAGTGTACTTTAATCTGACCTCAGATATGATTATAAAATGATGTAAAATAATGTTCTATATGTAATAATTACGTACTGTTTTCGAGTGTCATTACGAATCGTCTCACACGCGGACTCGATGACTTCCATCCTCCCGAACAAGCCCGTTTCCGAAAAGGCTTTAGCACTATAGCCATATACATTTCATTCGGCAAATTGTACAGAAGACTGAAGAGTACAATTTGCCACTTTGGCTTACGAATGTGGACTATGAGAAAGCCTTCGATTTGGGCGGTGCTGCAGTCCCTTCAGAATATCGGAATATCAAAGGGCTGATGTATTTGTACAGTAATCTCCTCCAGACCGAATTTCGGCCACGGCTGCCAGCCTCAACGGAGACTAGCCATCTGCGCAGCACAGGATTATAGTGCCCAAGTGTATGCGCAAGCACAGCTGCACTCTCTATTCCCTCACTCTCATAGCCCGATGGGACGGTAAACCGACACGACCGGAGAGAGATCAGGCGCAGGACCAACGGTTTTACTTGCTTTCCGAGGCACAGGGGTGAAACACCGACAACTTCCTGACTCCGGGCAGATACTGAGCATTTCTTTATGGAAAAACTCAATAACTGATTTTTTGGCCCGACCCGGGATTTGTACAGTAGGGTTACCATGGCTATCCGAGTACAGAACCAGAGTACGAAACCTATCCAACTGCAAAGAGGTGTAAGAAAGTGTGACATAATATCCCTGAAACTCTTCAGCGCTGCATTGGAAGACGTTTTCAAGCTACTGGACTGGAAAGGATACGGTATTAACATCAATGGCGAGTACATCACTCACCTCCGATTTGCCGACGATATAGTCCTTATGGCAGAATCGCTGGAGGACCTAAGCTTACCTACCTACCTACCTACCTACTTAATGAACTCAATAGTGTCTCCCAATGGATAGGTCTTAAGTTGAACATGGCCAAAACAAAAATCACATTTAACGTCCTTGTCACTCCTATGCCTGTAGTAGTTGGGAGCACTTAGCTCGAAGTTGTTGACGAGTATGTTTACCTGGGACAAATAGTCCGGCTAGGCAAGTCCAACTTCGACCGAGAGGTCAATCGACGGATTTAATTCGGCTGGGCAGTGTTTGGGAAATTACGACACATCTTCTCGTCAGATATACTTCAAAAATTTTGAAAACGAAATTGTAAAACCAATGCGTGTTGCCTATGATGACTTATGGATCTGAGACGTGGTCCTTTACTGCTGACCGTATGAGGAAGCTCAATATCGCTCAGCGAGCTATGGAGAGGGCTATGCTCGTCGTTTCTCTACGCGATAGACTTAAAAACGAGGATATCCGTGGTAGAACCAGAGTAATTAGTTATTAACCAGAGGATTAGTAATCTGAAGTGGCAGTGGGTCGGCCATATAGCTCGAAGAGCCGACAACCGATAGGGAAGAAAGGTTCTCGAGTGGTAGCTTCATACCGGCAGGCAAAGTTTTTTTTTATATAGGATAGGGTGACAAACGAGCACACAGTCCACCTGATGGTAAGTGGTTACTGTGACCCATAGACATCTACATCTATCCTCAATAAAGACTCAAGATGCAGATTCGTTATCACCAGTGAGGACTAAGATGGAATGCCTCTTTGCCCGTATAAAGTGTCTCCGGTTCTCTACACTCACCATATGAAACACAGCAGCGTTAAGCTGCTATTTTACGCTGGTTTTCTGTGAGAGCGTGGTCCTTCCCCGGTCGAGCCGACCCATTCGTGCTACAACTATACTACTAATATAGCTGCAGCATGGCTCTACTCTACTTAAGTGTAGGGCGTCACACCACTAAATGGAGTGACGACCTGGTTGCATGCCTTACCAGGTCAGTTAAAGAAATGCAATTGGCTCAGTGCTTTGTGGCATTGCTTGGGGAGGCCTATGTTCAGCAGTATACTTAAGCCCCGGATACACTAGGGGACAGATTTTCCCAGACGCGGAACACTTCATGTACGTGACGATACAATGTTGCACAGTGACGCGCAACATGACCTGCAACATTTTACGTGACGCGGGGCATGTTGCTTTTTCTCGCTCCGAGAGCGAATGCACGTGTCTCGCGTCAGTGTCGCGCCATTTGTTGCCGGGTATACGGTATAGTTCCCCAGTAGTGTGGGGAAACGAAACTTTGCTTTTAATTTCTTGAGCTTTACAAGTCCTTTTTGTAGTGGGATACTTCAAACCACAAACTTCTAGTACTATTCTGCCGATTAGTTTCACGTTTCCCTCCCGAAATAAGTACTATGTACGCAGCACTGATCGCCACAACCTCGGGCGCATTTCTGTAAGCACTGATTAGTGTGGATTGATTAGTGTAGATTGACTTCATTATGACGACCAGACGACAACTGTTCAGTGATGTCTCAGTGATCGCGAGGGTGAAAACCGGCAGCGATCACCGAATGGTTAGAGGCACACTGAACCTAAACGTTAAGTTGGAGAGGTCTCGTCTAATGAAGTCAACGCTCCGTCCCCCTCGTGCTCTAATCCAAAGTCCCGAAACCTTTCAGCTCGAGTTACAAAACCGTTTTCAGTGCCTAGAAGACTGCAATGAAGTGGACGATTTGAATGACAAGCTCGTGGAAACTGTCCATGCGGTCGGAGCTAAGTTCTGCAAGACCCGCCGCAGAAGAACACAAAAACTCTCCGATCACACTCTTAATCTCATGGCTGTTAGACGGGAGATGAAGCTACATTCTTCAACAGATTTGACAGCATACAGGCAACTGAACAGACAGATCTCCAAATGCATGCGGCGGGACTTACGCAACTTCAATACAGCTCGTATTGAAGAAGCGATCGAGCGGAACCAAGGCTCCAAAGTCTTCGCCAGAGATCTGTCTGCCAGAAAGAGCCAACTGTCAAAGCTGAAGACCGAATGTGGCAGCATCGTTTCCGGGGCACCTGAGATTTTGAGTGAGATTGAGAGGTTCTATGGGCAGCTGTACACGTCATCGTTGGAGCCGCACGCAAGTGTGAGTAACGATCCAAGAGCGAGTCTTGTCCGACATTATTCCGATGATATCCCGAACGTCAGTCTGAGCGAGATTAGAATGGCTCTCCAGCACCTTAAAAACGGCAAGGCCCCAGGCGAGGATGGAATTACAGCGGAGCTTCTGAAAGCGGGTGGAAAACCGGTACTTGAAGTCCTTCAGAAGCTCTTTAATTCCGTCCTCCATGGTGGCATTACACCGGAGGCGTGGAGCAGAAGTGCGGTGGTCTTGTTCTTCAAGAAAGGCGACAACGCTCTCTTGAAGAACTACAGACCGATTTCCCTTCTGAGCCGCGTCTACGTGCTGTTTTCGAGAGTCATTACGAATCGTCTCGCGCGCAGACTTGACGACTACCAGCCTCCCGAACAAGCCGGTTTCCGAAAAGGCTTTAGCACCATAGACCACATACATACCCTTCGGCAAATTGTACAGAAGTCCGAGGAGTACAATTTGCCACTATGTCTGGCGTATGTGGACTATGAGAAAGCCTTTGATTCCGTCGAAATTTGGGCGGTGCTGCAGTCCCTTCAGCGATGCCAAGTTGACTGTCGGTATATCGAAGTGTTGAAGTGCTTGTACAGTAGGGCTACGATGGCTATCCGAGTACAGAACCAGAGTACGAAACCTATCCAATTGCAGAGAGGTGTAAGACAGGGTGACGTCATATCCCCGAAACTCTTCACCGCTGCATTGGAAGACGTTTTCAAGCTTCTGGACTGGAAAGGATACGGTATCAACATCAATGGCGAGTACATCACTCACCTTCGATTTGCCGACGATATAGTCCTTATGGCAGAATCGCTGGAGGACCTAAGCACTATGCTCAATGACCTCAATAGTGTTTCCCAACGGATAGGTCTTAAGATGAACATGGACAAAACAAAGATCATGTTTAATGTCCATGTCACACCTATGCCGGTAGTTGTTGGGAACACTAAGCTCGAAGTTGTTGACGAGTATGTTTACCTGGGACAAATAGTCCGACTAGGTAAGTCCAACTTCGACCGAGAGGTCAATCGACGGATTCAACTCGGTTGGGCAGCGTTCGGGAAATTACGGCACATCTTCTCGTCAGGTATACCTCAAAACTTGAAAACGAGACTGTACACCCAGTGCGTGTTGCCAGTGATGACATACGGAACTGAGACGTGGTCCTTCACTGCTGGCCGGATGAGGAAGCTCAAGGTCGCTCAGCGAGCTATGGAGAGGGCTATGCTCGGAGTTTCTCTGCGTGATAAACTCAGAAATGAGGATATCCGCAGTAGAACCAGAGTGACCGACATAGCCCAACGGATTAGTAAGCTGAAGTGGCAATGGGCCGGCCATATAGCTCGAAGAACCGACAACCGATGGGGAAGAAAGGTTCTCGAGTGGCAGCCTCGTACCGGCAGGCGAAGTGTAGGGCGTCCCCCCACTAGATGGAGTGACGACCTGGTAAGATATGCAGGAAGTCGATGGATGCGGGTGGCTCAGGACCGTGCTTTGTGGCGTTCTTTGGGGGAGGCCTATGTTCAGCAGTGGACTTGTGAAGGGCTGTAATGATGATGATGATGATGATTAGTGTGGCATGCAAAATGTTCCGCAACATATGTCTCGGTACATTCCACGTAGTTGTTGAGCGACATGATGCGCAATCTGTCACTCCTTTTGCCCCCAAGTATTTTATCGCAATTTATTTACCTATATATAAGGCGTGATCCATTTCGAGGTTCCCTACTTTTTTAAAGAAAAAAACACAGAATTTTCAAATTTAATGGAGAATGTTTATTATCATTTGAAAGAACATTCTTTGGCATTTATTTTTTGAAGATTATGTATACCAAATGTTGGCCGTTGCTACGTCGCAGATGCGTATAAGAGAAATAGCCGAAGAAGTAAATGCAGGATCGCAAGATGATTCTTGCGACCCACCATTCACTATCTCTGAGCTAAATTATGCCTTGAACAGTTTCAAACCAAAAAAGGCTCCGGGAGGGGACGGCTTCACGGCTGATATCTGCCGAGAGGCGATTTCCCAAAACCCCGGTATTTACTTGAGTCTTGCAAATAAATGCCTCGAGTTAGGACACTTCCCCATTATATGGAAGGAAGCAGTAGTTGTGGTCCTACGAAAGCCAGGAAGGGAGGATTACACACACCCGAAGGCCTATAGACCTATAGGTCTACTATCTGTTATGGGAAAAGTCCTGGAGAAGATGGTTATAAGAAGGGTAAGGTGGCATGTTCAACCAGGTTTTAGTACTCGCCAATACGGCTTCACACCACAGAGAAGCACCGAAGACTCCCTCTATGACATGATGAATTACATACGTACACAGTTACGAAATAAGAAAATAGTGACCATGATATCTCTTGACATAGAGAGAGCATTCGATAGTGCTTGGTGGCCAGCAATTAGATGTCGGTTGGCTGAGGAAAGATGCCCTATAAATATTAGGAAATTAATTGATAGTTATCTCCAGGACAGAAAAGTTAGAGTGAGGTATGCCGGTGTGGAGCAAACACAAACGACTACAAAGGGGTGCGTACAGGGCTCCATAGGTGGTCCGGTCCTGTGGAACTTGCTTCTGGACCCTTTGCTTAAAGAGCTGGAGAAAAGGGGTGATCGGTGTCAAGCGTTTGCCGATGACATCGTCCTGTTGTTTGCGAGTGACACGGCTCTTGAGATCCAAAGACGTGCGAATGCCGCTCTTGAACATGTTCGGAGGTGGGGAATCCGTAACAAACTCAAATTCGCGCCACATAAGACTAAGGCTATGGTTATAACTAACAAATTGAAATACGATTCTCCACGTCTAAACATGGGCGGGATGGGCATTGGCATATCGGAGGAGATTAAGGTGCTTGGTGTCACTGTAGACAAGAAACTCACCTTCAACACCCATGTGAGAAATGTGAGTAGGAAGGCTACAGCACTCTACGGACAACTATCGAGAGCTGCAAAGGTTAGTTGGGGCCTTCAACCAGAGATCATCAGGACGATGTACACGGCTGTCGTTGAGCCGGTAGTATTGTACGCGGCGAGCGTGTGGGCGCCAGCCGCTAAAAAGTTGGGAGTCAGAAAGCAACTGAATACTGTGCAGAGAGGATTCGCTCAAAAAATCATAAAAGCGTACCGTACTGTGTCCCTACACTCGGCGCTAGTATTGGCTGGTCTGCTTCCTCTGGACTTAAGATTCCAAGAAGCAGCATCACTTTTGTAGCAAAGCGAGGAAATCTCCAGTCAGTGCTGGCAGACCGAGTGGTGGAGACAAGGGCGAGCTGCACGGAAATGCCTCATCCAGCATCCGATATGGACCTGAAATTCATATGCCTGGTAAATGAGGACCAAACGAGACTCAACAACATCCAGAGTCTCCGAATATTTACCGACGGGAGCAAAATAGAGGGAAAGGTCGGAGCGGCATTATCTTTTTGGAATAGTGCCGCCGAGATCCGAACTCTGAAGCTCAAACTGTCGGACCACTGTACCGTTTACCAGGCAGAATTACTGGCCATATACATGGCAACTGAGCGGATCCTTTCTAGCGCGGAGAAAACTTTCGGGGTTTACAGTGACTCTAGGTCCGCTCTCGAGACCATTGTAAACCAAGACTCCCAACACCCTTTAGCAGTCAAGACCCGTAAAAACATCCACAACATCTTGGGGCAACAAAAAACATTGCAACTCTTTTGGATTAAAGCCCATGCGGGTCTTGCAGAAAATGAACGTGCTGACGAGTTGGCGAAACATGCAGCGCTGCGAACTAAAAGAAGTCCGGACTATGACCTTTGTCCGGTCTCCTTTGTAAAGCGTCTCATTCGATCGGAGACGCTACAAGAATGGAACCGGAGATATGCAGAGGGAGAGACCGCTAAAATAACAAAAGTTTTTCTGCCGGACGCTGAGTCAGCCCACAAAGTAATAAGGGAAACAACGCTGTCTCCAACGATGGTTCAGGCAATGACCGGACATGGTGGGTTCTCCGAGTACCTGTACCGGTTTCGTTGCAAAGAGAGCCCATCATGCATCTGTGAGCCCGAAATCGAGGAGACAGTGTTGCACATCCTTCTGGAGTGTCCTCGGTTCGATAAAATCAGATGTTATTTCGAGTTTGAAACCGATCTACAAATTAAAAAAGATAATTTGCATATATTATTAAAAGAAAAAAGGACAAGAAATAAGTTTATAAAATTTTGTGAGGGGGTAGTAAAACAAGTTATTAAAAATAATAAAAAGTAAATTATTTATAGTTTCGTAAAATAATTTACGATGACAAAAATGTAATGTGATGTTTGTAATTATTTATTATTATTATTTATTATTATTGATATTTAGGTATTATTATTATTACTGATTATTTATCAAATAGCTTGTATCATTTTAGGAATTATTGAATTAATTAATTATACAATTTTATTGGCTGTAAAATGTAATGACGACAATACACTAGGTGCTTCCTTGTGTTTATACGATGTATATACAGAGAGAATGCACTGATTCAAAATTCAAAATTTATAAATATTTATTTCATTTAAAAATGTTTATAATGAAATTGAAAGGTTAATTACACAAACGCATAAAAAAGACTGAAAACATTCGTCAGAGGGCTGCTAGAAAAAAAAAATCTCTCAAGTTGGACCAAACTGCACACAGTGTGCAAAATTTCACTGAAATCAGTTCAATAGTTTAGGAGTTCATCGCGGACAAACAATGTGACACGTAATTTTTATATATAAAGATATATATATATATATATATATATATATGTGTGTGTATAAATTTAGGTGTATATATATATATATATATATATATATATATACACCTAAATTAGGTCATAGGTAATCTTGCTCGGCTTATCTCAATATTTAATATTATTAGAAAGAGCGGTGCCTCCTGACACAGGTATTCTTATATACTTACTAGGAGGCTCCAATTACTTTATTATTTAGTATGCCTTGAGAAAGAAATAAATATATTTTAATTTTATTTATTTTTTTATATCATCAATACTATTTTCTTATTTATTATCTGTATGATATTGTTAAATCAGCAATAAATGATATAAAGCGTGGGAAATCACCAGGTCACGATTGCCTGAGCGTCGAACACCTCAGATATGCGGGTGTGCACCTTCACAGAGTCCTCAAGTTACTCTACAATCTATGTATTGGTCATGGTTACTTACCCGATCCAATAATGATGATAGTGGTCGTGCCTATCCTTAAGAATAGGACGGGCGATGCAGCGTATGAAACCAACTACAGGCCGATATCCTTGGCGACCATCTCGGCTAAGGTTCTGGATAGTCTGCTTGACACACAGTTAAGTAAGGCAGTTAAGTTACGTGATGCTTAGTTTGAGTATAGGCCTGAACTGTCAATGGAGAGCGCAATACTGTGTCTCAAGCAGACTGTGCGGTACTACACGGACAGGAAGACTAAGGTGTATGCGTATTTCCTGGATTTGTCTAAAGCCTTCGACCGAGTGTCTTATAAAATCCTATGGTAAAAACTAAGACGGAAAAGTAGCTTGAGACCAGAGTTGATTTCACTGTTGGAATATTGGTACGGTAACCAGACTAACACAGTTAGATGGGGTAATGCTTTAAGTGATCCCTACAAACTAGAGTGCGGAGTGAGGCAGGGTGGGCTGACGTCACCCAGGCTGTTTAATCTTTATGTTAACAGACTGATTGAGAGGCTCAGCAGGGCAGGTGTCGGTTGCTCAATAGACGGTGTATTCATGATTATTTTTAGTTACGCAGACGACATGGTTCTGTTGAGCCTCTCAGTCAGCGGGCTTCGAAAGCTGTTGAAAATTTGTGAAGCATATGCCGAGGAGACTGGACTCAGTTACAACTCAAAAAAGAGTGAATTTATTGTCTTCAGAGGTGAAAACAAACCACTTGATTTCACGCCATGTATCCAGCTATGTGGGATTCCTCTGAGACAAGTGGCTGAGTTTAGGTACCTCGGACATATTGTAACTGAACGCCTGGATGATGACAGTGATATTGAACGAGAGCGCCGTGCGCTGTCGGTCCGAGGCAATGTGTTGGCTCGCAGATTTGCACGTAGTACGACTCAAGTCAAGTTAACTTTGTTCAAGGCGTATTGCCAATCCTTTTACACGTGCAGACTGTGGACTGACTATACGCAGCGGGACTACAGTGATCTGCGTGTTCAGTACAACAATGTGCTGAGGGTGATGTTGAGGAGGCCTCGACACTGCAGTGCGTCGGATATGTTTGCGGATGCTCATGTGGACGACTTCTACGCGATCATGCGCAAGCGTGCCGCGTCCATGATGAGCAGGCTATTGAGGAGCTCCAACATCCTTCTCAGCACGTTGGCTATGAAGATGGATAGCCCGCTCTGGAGGGCTTGGAATGGTGCACACACCAGCACCAGGAGAATCCCACCTGGAGTTCGCTATGAGAGGCTGGAGGTAGGTTAAATTATTAATATAGGATAAGTACTATTGCGACTAACATTTTAATATTAACTTCTATTTTATTTTATACTAACATTAGGCTGAGTAAGTTTTACTAACAATCTATGACTATTGTTGGTCGAAATAAAGGATTTATTATTATATTATTATTTATAGAATTAAAGTTTCAAAAGGTAGATGCTGCGGCTCAAAATCTAGTCACCATGATAACTATTAGAAGGAGTTATTACAGCTATTTTTAGCAGGGCAAATAGTAGGGCAATGGCGACGGCGCCATGGTTTTATTCCCGCTCAGAACGAGTGTCTATTGTCTACAAATAATTGTCTCTGGTCAAGATGTTTTTTTTTTATTTTTTATATCCGAGAGTTCCTCCGTGATACAGGAGAAATTTATTAAGAGAAAAGAGGAAAATAATTTTCATAGTTACGAAACTAAATTTATTACGATCGTTGTTAGTTTCAAGGAATGTGTTATCGTGTGTTTAATGATATTTAATCAAAGTATAAACTTTGCATTACATGCTATTTGAATGTGATGAATTGATTAGGATAATATGAAAATATTTTATGTCTTGTTCACAAAACATTTCAGGATATTTTATTTAACGAAAAAATATATACAATATTTGAAATATGTCAGGCTTTTGCCAATTAAATTGTTATATTTCTGATTATAAAATCTACATTTGCGATAAAATTTGATTAGGTTCAAATATATAAACACTTTCTTTGTATGTATAAATATTGAAAATTTTACTTTGATAAATCAGACGACCGCAAGATGGCGATGGGTAAAATCATTTGGTTATCAAATAATTACAGTTAATGTTATTTCAATTTTAGTATAATATGACATATTTCAATGATTATACTATTCGGGAGAGGGGGGGGGAGTATTTATTGGTTAAAAACTACCTGGGGCATTGGGTTACAGATGACCTCTCTGATGACATGGATATTGAACGAGAACGTAGAGCATTAGCAGTGAGGTGCAATATGCTGGCTCGCAGGTTTGCAAGATGTACAAAAGCTGTCAAAATAACACTTTTTAAGGCGTACTGCCAAACGTTTTACACCTGCAGTCTGTGGGTCAAGTATACTCGCCGATCAGTAAATGCTCTACGTGTTCAGTACAATAATGGCTTTAGGGTGCTGATGGAGCTGTCTCGATATTGCAGCGCATCAGGTATATTTGTTGAGGCTAACACGGACAGCTTTGATACAATAGTGCGGAAGAGAGTGGCCTCCCTGTGCGACGCGTGCAAGACAGTGCCAACGGACTCCAATGTAGTGTATTCGGAAGGCTTGATTCTGTCTGGTTGTGCGGCACTGGAACACTGTGCATATAGGGTCCAGAGCTGTTATGTTTAATATAAAATAAGTATTGTTGTTTTTAGTTGTATATTTACTAATATTCATTTTAAATTTATATTATTTATTACGAACAAAGTATGGAGCTTGTATCTGAAATTAAATTATTATTATTATTAACAAAAATACCACTACCAACAAATTCTGATCTAATGAGATGTGTATCTCAATCATTTTTAACTGACTTCAAATAGTAGGAGAGCTTTACAATTTGTCGAAATCTTTGTTTTTTAATGTATGTTCACCGATTACTCGAAGACGCCTGAACCGATTTGGAATTTGGAATTTGGAATTGAATTTGAATTTTGGTTTCAAAGGATATACTGCCCAGGCGGTCCCATTTAAATTTTATTGAAATCGGTCGAGCGGTTTTAAAAAAATCAATAATAAATTATA